CCACTTCATGGTTGAGGAGGGCATAATCCTTGGCAATAAAATTTCAAAACATGGCATAGAGGTGGACAAAGCTAAGATAGAGGTGATTTCGAGGCTTTCGCCCCCTAATTCTGTCAAAGGGGTTAGAAGTTTTCTTGGGCATACGGGGTTCTACCGAAGATTTATCAAGTATTTTCGGAAGGTAGTGAATCCTTTGTGCAAGCTATTGGAAAAGGATGCCAAGTTCGTTTTAGATGAGAGTTGTATGCAAGATTTTGAACTTCTCAAGCAAAAGTTCACCACCACTCCTATTATTACCGCACCCAATTAGAGCTTGCCTTTCGAACTCATGTGTGACGCGAGTGATGTTGCGGTTAGGGTGGACTTGGGAAAAGAGTGAATAAAATGTTTCATCCGGTGTATTATGTGAGCAAGACAATGAATGATGCTCAAATGAATTACACGGTGACTGAAAAAGAGTTGTTGGCTATTGTGTTCGCAATGGAGAAATTTCGGCCGTATCTCATGGGAGCCAAGGTCATAGTTCATACCGATCATGCCGCTCTTCGGTACTTGATGACAAAGAAAGATTCCAAAGCTAGGTTGATACGATGGGTCTTGTTACTTCAAGAGTTTGATTTGGAAATTGTGGACCGGAAAGGTAGTGAAAACCAAGTGGCAGACCACTTGTCCCGCTTGGAGGAGGAGAGGAGGCCTCGTGATGGCCTAGAGATCAATGATTCATTTCTCGATGAGCAACTAATTTCTGTGTCAGTGAGTGATATGCCATGGTTTGCGGATGGTGCTAATTTCCTTGTGACTAGTATAATCCCGTGTGAGCTCTCTTCTAACCAAAGGAAGAAGCTCAAACGGGATAGTTTGGATTTCTATTGGGATGATCCATACTTGTTCAAGATCTGCACTGACGGTGTGATCCGAAGGTGTGTCCCCGAGGAGGAGCAATTGAGTATCTAAGAGGATTGTCATTCCTCTCCCTATGTTGGCCATCACGGTGGGGCGAGGACGGCTTCGAAGGTTCTTAGTTGTGGGTTTTACTGGCCAACTTTGTACAAAGATGCAAGTGAACTTGTGAAGAGATGTGACGAATGTCAAAGAGCGGGCGATATTTCGAAAAAGGATGAGATGCCTCTTAACACCATTATCGAAGTTGATATTTTTGATGTGTGGGGTATAGATTTCATGGGCCCGTTTGTTAGTTCGTGTGGCAATACCTTCATTCTAGTAGCAGTTGACTATGTGTCAAAATGGGTTGAAGCCGTGGCTTTACCCAATAATGAGGCCCGAAGTGTTGTTGCGTTTCTCAAAAAGAGCATATTTACTAGGTTTGGCATGCTGCGAGGAATCATAAGTGATGGGGGGTCGCATTTTTGTAATAGAGCTTTTGACACCTTGCTTGCAAAGTATGGTGTCAATCACAAAGTTTCTACTCCTTATCATCCTCCGGCGAGTGGCCAACTTGAAGTCTCAAATAGGGAAATCAAGAGTATATTGTAAAAAACGGTCAATGCAAATAGGACAGATTGGTCGAAGAAATTGGATGATGCTCTATGGGCTTATAGGACTGCTTATAAGACTCCGATTGGTATGTCTCCGTATCGGTAGGTGTTTGGGAAAGCTTGCCATCTACCGGTTGAGTTAGATCACAAGGCCATGTGGGCATTGAGGAAGTTGAATCTTGAATGGGATGTGGCAGCAAATCTTCGTGTGGAGCAACTTAATGAACTTGATGAATTCCAATTCCATGCCTACTCCAGTTCATCCTTGTATAAGGACAAGATGAAGTACCTTCATAACAAGTATTCTCGTAGCAAGGAGTTCAAAGTGGGTGATTTGGTTCTCTTGTTCAATTCTCGGTTACGTCTGTTTCGGGGAAAACTTAAGTCAAAATGGAGTGGACCTTTTGAAGTGGTGCTTGTGACTCCGTTTGGTGCACTTGACTTGAAAAACAAAAATGGTGAGATCTTCAGAGTTAATGGGCACAGAGTCAAACACTGTCTTGGCAAGATTGATGACAGCCACGTCGTGGCAATGATCCATCTAATGTGATTTGATGGTAACCTGCATCGTGCCACGATGTTAAATTAGGCGCTTCTTGGGAGGCAACCCATGTGTGTTTCTTTTTGTTTTTCTTTGATTTTCTTTTTAGTGTAGGATTTTCTTTTGGACTAATTGGTTTTGAGATGTGTGTAGGGTTGTTTTGATGCAGTGCAGGACCAAGTTGGAAAAATGTGCGATAGGTCTGCATTCCTATCACGCCCCAACATCGGGAGGCGCGACCGGCGCTCAATCGAGTGAACCCGACTGAGCAAAACTTTTTGGACACCTTCTACCCAACTCATTATGATCAAGAAACCATGCTTTCATTTAATTAGACAGTAGGAGAGATCGTACATATAACATTGCTAGTTTATTTTATATTACAACCTTTACATCATAGTTAAATTCCAAAAATTTCATACAATTTACAGTTTAGAAGAACAAGAGTTTAGAATTACAACACAGACCAGCGACCCATCCATCACCTGTGCATAACCCACACAAACATCTACGGAGACTCTAATGATACCAAAGACAGCTATGATAATGCCGGCAGCAAGGCCCCGACGATACCTCAAAATGTGGTAATTTGTAACAAAAGATATACTGCATAACCTCTGGAAGAATAGGGGGCTCACCAAGACTACTTAGAGGAGGATGCACCGCTATCTACGATCGGCATTGTCTGCTGTGGAACCACCTACATCTATTCAAAGATGTAGCGCCCCCGGCAAAAGGGACGTTAGTACCATGGAATAGTACTAGTATGTATAACTAAACACCATCTCATGAGAAAGAACAACCATGCAAGAACAAAGACATCATAAAGATCAACAAAAGCCTTAAACAATCACCACATCATCAAATAAAAAGGATCACATAGCTTTCAAATAATTTCCATAGCTTTAGGTTGGGACGTTTAATAATGTTACATCATCATCCACAATATATCAGTTCTTCGGCACTTGGGGCCACAATTATCACATCATACTTGGCACTAGGCCACATTTCATAACTCAACTCTTTTCCCCCACATTTCACATCATTTACACTTTCAACATTAACCTTGCAATTCAAGATAATAGGCACATATGGGAACAATTCAAGTCGTAAGCATAAAGAGGATTTCACATAGTCCGGCATAACAATATTAATTCAAATTCGATAAGTCTAAGCATTTTAGCACATGTTCCATATTCTTCACACATTCTCAAATAACAAGATAGCATAATAAGAGCATGGGATACATGTTGCACATATATTCTTTGCATCACAAGTTCATTTGAATATCAATCAGTACATAGATCAATTTTGGAACATACATCATTTGCATGTGCACCAATGGGGTTCAATTTCTAAAAAGAGGGGGTTTTAGCCATACATACCTCAATAGGGCTTTCCTTAAATTCTTACAATAATTCGGGAATCCTTAGCAACTTCGATCTATTTTATGAGCATTAAATGTTGAACCAAAAACTAGGGATATAATCAAGATTCTAGCTCATTTAGCACATTATCAAGCACTAAGTGTGCATTTATGATTTTAAGACCTTTTTGTGAAAGATTATATCATCCTACACCCCATTCGTTACATTTTTAGCTCACAATCTCCCCATACCCTTTTATCTTACTTGCATGCAAGATGATCAATCCTTATACCCATGAACCCACCTGTTAATTACTCATTTTAGTAGGAATTTCGAAATCAATGGTTAGGGCACAAGTTCTTACCTCTTAGGATGAAGGCGTAGTAACTCTACTTGATAATCATCAAAGATTTGGGCAAGGATTGAATAGTGACTTGGTGAGGATTACTTCCACTCTCTAGAACTCTTTCTCTCACTCTAAATGTAGTGGAATAATAGCACAATAGGGTTTAATGGGGTGTTTTTAACGGAATGGGGTCGGGTTTTAAAAGTTAGAAAATAGGAGCCCCGACTCAAAAGGGACCGCATAACTAATATGCAGCCCGCAAAAGGGACCGCAAAAGTAGCCCTCAAGGGCTTGAATATTTTTCCTAGGTATGCGACAAATATGCGGTCCGCATACCTGTTCTGCGGTCTCATAATGAACTGTAGAACTACCCTCCACAAAAAGCCCAAGGAGGTTATGCAACGACTGTGCGACCCGCATATCGATTATGCGATCGCATAACTGGCCACACGGTTGTCCTCAAAATTAGCCAACCTTCTGCCTCACTATGCGACAACTATGCGGTCCGCATAGTTATTATGCAGCCGCATAATGGGCCGCAGAAATGCAATCTTCTGAAAAACATTTTTCCTTAACTTTTTCAATGCACAGACCAATTCTACGATCACAGAAGGTACCACAAAAACTCCTTTTGAAATTTCTCATGCTTCATCTGCGACGAATATGCGGCCCGCGAAATAATTATGCAGCCGCATAATTGACCACAAAATATCAAAATTTACCCAGTTCTCTGCTTCACTCTGCTGCTGATCTGCGGTCGGCAGATCAGTTTTGCGATCACAGAATGGGCCATAGAAATGCCCTACTCTGCCAAAAGTTTTCTTCAACTCCCTAACGCACTATTCAACCCAAAATGTCCGTACCGCGGCGATATTATTTACAACTATAAACATATAAATACATTTTGGCACCACGAAACTCTAGGTTTAGGTGAAATTTTTATGGGGCCTTACATCCTTTCCCGCATAAGATCATTCGTTCTTGAATGAGGGTCAAAATCCGTAATCAGAAACCAATGTGACTCAACTGCTATTGCACACACCAGTAGTTTCAAATTTTTACTAACTCCTTAAATTTCCAAAAATTTCACTAGAGTCTACATAACCACAACAAGATGATGTAAAACAACATGGAAACAGTATCAGCCACAATGCCATAAACATTTTATTACCAAGAAGGAGTATCCTTAACATAAGCTGTACAGGGGAACATAATTCACATGGGACAATTTCATATAATTGATTACATAGCTATTCAAACAAATAAGGGTACTTCTTCTTCATCACTTCCTCGGCCTCCCAGGTGGCCTCTTCAACCTGTTGATTTCGCCATAGTACTTTCACCGAGGCAATTTCTTTATTTCTCAGCTTACGGACTTGCCTATCAAGAAAGGCAACTGGAATTTCATCATAAGCCAATTCCTCATTAACTTCAATAGTCTCACTTGGAGCAATAAGAGACGGATCTCCAACCACCTTCTTCAACATGGATACGTGAAACACCGGGTGCACTAAAGACATATCCGGAGGTAGTTCTAGCCTGTAAACCACCTAACCAATCTTCTGAATGATTTTGTATGGTCCGACATACCTCTGACTCAATTTCCCATTCTTACCAAACCGCATTATAGCCTTCATGGGGGGAACTTTCAAGAATACCCAATCATCCCATTTGAACTCCAAATCCCTGCGATGCACATCTGAATAGAACTTCTAACAACTTTGGGCAATTTTAAACCGCTCCTTGATGAGCTTAACCTTCTCCATAGCATGATGCATGAGGTCTGGCCCTATTAACTCGGCTTCCCCAATCTTGAACCATCCAATGGGAGATATACATCTCCCATCGTACAAAGACTCCAATGGTGCCATCTAAATGCTATCATGATAACCGTTGTTGTAGGAAAATTCTACGAGTGGAAAATGGTCATCCCAGCTACCCTTGAATTCCAGAACACAAGCGCGCAACATATCCTCAAGCGTCTGAATAGTTCGCTCTGCCTGCCCGTCGGCTTGTGTATGGAAAGTTGTACGAAGATTTACCTGAGTACCCAATCCTTGCTGAAATTTCATCCAAAAAATTTGTTGTGATCTGTGCCCCCCCGGTCAACACATAAATCAATCTCGGCACCACAAAACCCCGAGTTTTAGGTGAAAGTTTTACGGGGCCTTACACATGTCACGCCCCCTTTTTTTCGCGAAATCGTGTTCATGACATTTTGGTTGGGACAACTCGTTCCTTTGGGAAAGGGGTTTGCATTTTTAAAGAGTCGCCACCTAACGATTTAAGGTGCGTTAGGGCACCTATAGGGTTCATTTATAACTACGCTTGGTAACCAGAGACAGGGTAAGGGCTTGAAATTATCCCAAAGGGAAGGTGTTAGGCACCCCTCAGGATCCACTAGTGTGGTTCCCGGCCAGACAATTTTTGTAGATTTGTACAATTAGCAAATAAACAAGTATGGATCAAATAGTAGGGGATTTTAAGTTTAAGTACACAGATGTTTGAAAAAAAATAGTTAATGAAAAAGCCAGAAAAGAAGTATAATCTAAGCATATTTGCAAACGTAAAGGGGTGTCCTAGGTTGGTTAGCCTATAGGATCACATCAGTGCAATGCGCGGTAATCACTCCTTAGAAAGGGGCTACGCGTGGCATTAGCGCACCGGTCATCATATCCATGTCTACCCTTCCTGTCCCCTTATTGGTCATGCAAAGCGAGTGTTGGTCACGGATTCCTATCGCGTGCTACTACCCGTCCCCTCTTAATGGTCGTGGAGGGAGATAGAACCTCTACCTATAGGTGGTTCTAGACATACCCTAAGGTTTTTTAAAAAGGCGAAAATTCTAAGGCGACAGTCAAAAATATTTAGGACTTTCACACAAAATGGGAGCAATTAAAAGGCTCCGAGTTTCCTCCTCAAACAAACACATAAGCAGCACGACTCAAGCGTAGTTAAGGGCAGTATTCAGACTCCTAAGGCATGACATCTAGGTGTTTTTTTAGAAGGTAAGCAGATAGCTGATTTGTTGTATTATTCAGAAAGGCCTAGTCAGTTTGCCTGCTGTTGAGAATTAAGCAGCATACACAAGAAGGCAAATTTCCGATTTTAACAGCTTGGTTGCCTAAGGCTTGCTTAGGTGTGAAATAGTATACCTGTCTTCAGAAGTAAGGAAAACTGATTGGAAACAGGTTGTTTAAACATGCTATTCTAGGTGTTCAGCACATAGAATTATCACAATTAATTGCAAGAACTGAGTAAAATTGTTTTATCCCCTTTTTGTGCATGCATAGTTGGCCTAAGCGCGCGTAAGCGAATATAAAATCTTAAAGACATGGTATCTAATGTGCAAAGATGCAGAATCCTAAGCAGGATTTCTATATGCAAAAATATTACAACGTTTGAACATGATTTCCAGAATATGCAGGGATGATATGTTTGTTAGTGCTGCTTAGCCTCAAACAGGATCTCTAAGTGCGTATGGCAGTAGGAACATGATCGCAGAAAACACCGGTTATTAACACATTTAACACATGATTTTCTAAGTGATATGATAGCGAAATGAACATGCTGAAAACAATAAGTGTAAGTCTTAGGGAACATGATCTCTAATGCATGAAATGAGTCCTAAGCATGGTTTCAATTGCGCAAGTAGGAATATAAACCTAATAACATGTTTTCTACCCTTTCAATAGCTAAAGCATGCATAGTCACCCCTTCCCTTTCCACTATCCATCCACAGAGTTGTTTACAATAGTTATTACAAACCATTTGCATAAATTACACAATTGAAATAAAAAGAAAAAAAGAAGTTATGCTATAGGGAGCCTACTGATAGGCCCAAAATCTCCAGAATGCCTCAAATGCCATTAGTTCACAGCCTTTCATACAGATCTGGGTGTGTCAGAGTTCCCTAAGGACCTCAAGGGATCCCGGGAAGTGCTCACACCCAGATTTTATAGCCAAGACAGAGTAAGTGCAGTGTGGAAAGGCCAGCTTTCATGTGTCCAAGTTCAGATGGAGCTAAAGGTTTGCAAGGCATGGCTCACACAAAAGGGGCAGAACTTAGTGGTCTAAGAGCAGGGTGAGAGTGCTTGACATAGTGTTGAAAAGATTTAAGCATTAAAACAGTTTGAAAAGAGACTTGTTTGTAATAGTTTTTTAAAACAAGATAGGGAGTTATTAAATAAGACAATTTGAAAAGGTTAAGGTGACTAACAATCAATCAAACCAAATACAGAACCAGAAGAGGTTGATCAGCACTTCAATACATGGAATCAAACAAGTACACACATCCACTCAGGGGTAATGAGGATTTGGGGTAAGTGTAGGGCGCATAGTAAGAACATATGCACAGAGGTACAGAATCATAGGAGCCTTGAAAGGGGGGTTGGGGCTTTTAAAGTACAACATGAACTTCAGGGTAATACAGAATCAAACAGACTTAGAATAGCCAACTACTTTACACAGGAAGGTGCATGCCAGGGATCAGAGAACATAGTCAGATTGGGGTACACTAGAAAGGGATTCAAGAGCAGGCTAATCCTAAGGGGGTATATTCAGAAGCATGCAGTAAAGAAGACAGTGAAGTAGACATGTTAATTGCAGGTTGAGCAACAAAACCATAGATAGAAACAAACCAGGAACATGATAAACTGAAGCAGTAAAAGAAACATATTTTTTTTTGGGACTCGAATTGAAATCAGAACATACCAGTATAGAGATAGTAAACACAAAGTGAAGAATAGGAGAGCACAATAATTAGCCTTGGCTTGCAGCAGGCTAATTCAGGATAGTAGCAAGTAACAAAGAAAGAAAGCAGAAGGCCTTTTGAGTGTGAGAGAGTTTTTGAACCAGTGTGTTCGTGTGTGTAATGAAAAGAGGAGAGAGTATATATAATAGTTTGAAAGCTAGGTAAATAAGGTAAGAATCAATTGTTCAGCAATTATAGAACTACAAAATTAATTAAGAATGAAAATCAGCACAGTCTCCCTTAATTAAGGGAGTAATTTTACCAACGGTAGAAAGCAGGTAACAAATAAGGAAAAGATTCAAACAACATAGGTACAGATCATGTAATTAGGGATAGATACATAAGGGTCGAATTAAGGAAATAGCAGTAGGAATCAATTAATAATATAGTCAGCCATGTAATAAGACAAGAAGTAAACTAAAATCGGAAATCAAAAAAGAATATTACCATAGGAAATCAGTAAAGGGTATCAATCACAGAAAATTAGGGATTCAACTAGAAATAGTACTGATTAGAGGAAATTACCACAAATCTCTGTCAATAGACAAAGTAAACATAATATAGGCGGGAGAAGCAAAATCAGAAACCCTAATGAGCTTAAAGGGGGGTAGAAAATCACAGGGACTCAAAACATATGCATGAGAAACAGACATACGCACAAATCAGACGAGCAAATAAGCAAAGATAATCTCAGAACCCAAGATTGAAACATAAATTAGGGTTCTTAATATAGTTAATAAGATAAAAGAAAAAAGTTAAATAAACCGTTTAAACATAGCAAAAATCATAGATTAATACCAAAATCAGAAGAGAAAGCGTTTTAAAAGGGGGTTACGAAACCCTAGTTTTGAAGACGAAGAAGTGCTTTTGAAAATCGGAGAGATTATCATGGAAAACAGCAAGAATAACTCAAAATATACTGAAATCTATGGTGGATCTGAAGAGTCAAGAGATGAGTTAGGGTTTCAGAAAGAGATAACCCAGAGACAAGGAGAGACCAGCTTAGAAACCATAGGTCTAGCCGGAAAATAGAAAGATCTTACTCGGACGGCCAAGGGTGGCCTGAGAACAGCCAGAATCAGGCCATAGGTGTGAGTTGAACAGCCGCTGGTCCCTTGAGGACCTTAGGGTAGCAATAATCCGACATGGGGGGAGCCATGGAGGCTAGGGTTAGTGGTGGAACCGCCATTATTATCGGCGAGCCAACGGCCGGTGAGAGGAACCATGGTTTAGCAGAGGGAGCTTGAGAGAATTTGAGAGAGAATGGGAGGGTGTGTCGGCGGAGAGTGATGAGAGAATAGAGAATGGGGGGGGGGTAGTCTATTAGGTTAAATTAGGAAAGAATTAACCTGGACAATTGATCCAAAATGATCAACGGCCAGGATTTGGGCGGAATTGGGTCGGGTAGGATATAGGTTTTGGCCTGGGTCTTTGGGCTAGTGTAATTGGGTTTGGGGCATGTTTAATTTAGGCTAGAATTGAAATGCAATAGGCTATTAGTTAAATACCCAATTAAATTACATAAATTTTTTAATAAAAATAGCTGATAATTGTAAAAAATGAATTTCATGCATAGGAAATAGTTAAAAATAATTACTTGGTATTTAAAAATACAAATGCTTAATTTTCGGTCAAAAATAGTATAAAATCATATGATTGGGCCATAATTGCAATGTTATTGCAATTATAGTCAAAAGATGGCAATTAGGCTAATTATGAAATAATTTGGTTTAAATAGGACCATAAATAGTAAATTAAATCAAGAGATGCTTTTGAAATCGATTCTGATGCAATTCTGTAATTATTTATTGGGAATAAAATGCTGGGTAAATTAATAAAATATATAGAAAATTATGGAAAATACCAATTGCTATTGATGCATGATTTTGAAGGTATATATGCAATTTTAAAAATATTTTGGGGAAAAATTGGGTATCAACAACATACACATGCTAGGTTACGGCCGTGTGGGCATGCACTGTGTCAATTATGATTCCGTTGATTCTGTGATACTGTGTAGTTACCTAATCTTGTTTTTATATATGAAATATTTACGTGTTAGAGAAATTGAGCTGTGAATCATGTTAGGAATCTTGTTTAGGCTATACGATTATTTTG